AGATGGACTATTAGAGGTTGTTCTGGAAGAAGACAAAGACGACATAACTACAAAGCCTAGACTTGCAATAGCGGGTTAAGATAAATGGTGGCAGTGCGCGTAGGATTTGGTAATGCTAGATTGCAACGCTTCTGATAGGGCTTGACTAGAGCTGGGATCTTATCCTTACAACATCTCCCGCGAGACATTCCCTGATCATAAGATTGACACATATGGCACTCGTCCACGTCGCCACATTAACTTCAACTACGACGGACTGCAAATAGAATCTAGTCATATGCTACAAGTGATGTCACAGCTCACGGTGTATTGGATTTTGGAATGCAGACCATTCAGCATCATTCATACCTAGCAAAACGACCGCGCTACACGAGCATCATGTCTCAAGCAAGCTCGCAAGATGGTAACAAGTATCTGATCAGCCACTAGGGCACCCTTTGCTTCTCTGACACGCTCCACTAGATTCTCCCATGACACTCGCGTGTTTCGGTGGTACCTGTGCATGTTTCCCGTGTCAACCCCAGACCTTAAGACCGGCATCAGGGCTATCAGGTCTGCGTAGAGGCCCGTATTGTTCAGTTGTGGGAAGAACAGTCCCCGTGTATCTTGAACGAGATGGGTGCGGAAATGTGCTAGATAATTGTCGTGTCGCAAGAAAGTCTGACGACATGGTCCTTCTTTTCGATGGTGGCCAATATCAGAGCTTCTTAGCATGATATCACAAGTAAATGTGCGTTCCTGGTCGTGTGTCTCCTGGTGACGCTTTAGATGCTCTAATTTGCTAAATTTTCGACCACAATGGACTCCTTTTACCCTCTTAGAACAGATGAACTGTCTCCGGGGCTGAACAGTTATGACGCCTGAGCATTTTTGTTTCTGCACCTTCATTTTGGAAAACATATCAAGATTGCACGAGTAGTGCTCCCACATCGTTTCTACGTTGTATACTTCTTGACTTTTACAGGCCCCAGAGGTAGAAGATGCCGATGAGTTCGTATTGGCTGCACTCTGAGTAAGACTGCATTCAATCCTGTGCAAAGTCGCACCAGACTGGCAATGCGATCTGCCAACAGCAATCCCCAGTCCCTCCGTACATATGTCGTCTATAACATGTGGCGATGGACAAATAGAACAGCCATCAAGATTAAGCTGCGAGTTTCGGTAGCTGACAGTATACGGACTGGAGGTTTGATTCTCGGGCCACTGGCAGGGTGAGCTGCCAAACTGCTCACCTAGATACATAGTCAGTAGAGTATGAATCCGCCTCCGGTCTCGTCCACCACGTACCTGAAACAGAGAAGTGAAATGTTGACATGACGTCTATCAACCATGAAAGAACACCACTATGCGATGCTGTATCTACACCGTAGTAGGATATACTAGGCTCCAGGATTTACAGGGTTAGTGGAGCCGTCTAGATACTGAGCCGTTGGACCCACGATACTGAGCCATGAGATCCACCAAGTCATCGCCGCTCTCCAATCGTCTAAGCCATGCTGAGGCATAGATTCTGATAAGCTATCTCGGAATCTATATCTGAGCCAAACCATGTCAGTCGCCTTGGCTATACTAACAATACGACGACACGTACATTATGCTACTTAACCATGACGGACTTATGTAGACCAATGGAAACGAATACGCAAGTAACTTTCCGCACAAAGCGCAGGTTATCCTTGCTCAACGGTTCACGCAGCGGCTCGCAGACCCATATCTTACTAGGCAGGAGAGTGAAGAGCTTGCTGTGCGCCGTCATCACTGCAAGGTATAATGCAGTTTGTCAGCGAAATGCCACGCAGCGTTGGGCACGTGGAGCCTGCGCCCTTTCAATGTGGGAACGTCTGTAGAGTAAAGCATGACAAAGTTGATTTGACGGTCCTGTCTAGTCTAGCTAAGTAAGACCTGAGCAACACGCATGTACTCTGATCAACTTAATTTAGTCCGGGTTCCCATCCATCGCTCTCGCTCCGAGGCAAGTCTCTAGGCTGGCTCAGAGAATCTTCTGGTGTAACAAGCCGGTCGAAGTCGGCTAGGATCTGACGAAGGTTCTCTACCACGGCTTGAACCTCTGCTGCAAGGAATGATTTTGCCTGGCAGCTTGACCAGAAGCGGTCTCGCTCCCACTGCAACTCTTCTCTTAGCTGGAAGTTCTCAGACATCTTCCTCTCAATCATCTGTGCAAGTCTTGGTACCGGCAAATTCTTGTTTGTGTCTAGCCTACGCTTTCTAGGCTGCTTTGTTGTTGTTTCTACGGACGGAGGATCAGCCGGCTTGGGGTAAGAGATAGGCGGGAAAGTGGGTGGCTTCTTGGACCTGAACAATCCCATATCGGGTGAAGCGAACAGCTAATGCTAGAGATGAAATTTATGGCATAGAGATGTAGCACGAGTCCTACATATAACAGGTATGATGACTCGAATGGAAACGTTTGAAAATGGAATGCACAAAATCGGGACCGTGGACCGAATCAAGGCATTGCTATAGCTGCACTTGGATGTCACCATGTGTCTCTGAAGCTGGATCCTGGATTCTCACAGCGCGGATCATATCGCCCGCCATTCCCAATGCCCGCTGGAGCTCACTGTTCTGTCGTTGCAACTTGTCGTTTTCTCGTTCAAGTTGTGTCATCCGCGTCCCATCCTTCACGGTCATCGATGCTTGATCCGAATTCTCAGACAAGGCGTAGTGAGAGAGAATCTCCGTATAGGCATCTCCTAGCTCGCGGTATAGGCTTTGGCATTTGCTGGCGATCTCGTTGCGGTCGTGCACAGCCTCCTGGTAAAGGACGTGAAGGCGTCGGTTCTCTCGGTCTACTTGCATTCGACTTCTTTTCTCTTCTTTTCGAATGGTGAGCAACTGGAGAATGGATGTACGACAATTTTGAATACATAGGCTTGCTTTGTAAAGCTCTACGCTGGCTCGAGTAATGGCCTCGTCGGGGTGCTCTCTTATCGACATCCTAGAGAACGACTTAAGCACTGTCGTATGGGTGATTCTGCGCGACTCACACTTCTCTGCTGTATTGATGCTGTAAATCCGTATCTAGAAACCGTGAATGCCCGGACAGGCAGGCTAGTCTTCTGCTGGTGGATCTGTGGGAGTGCCCGCTTTCTTGAACCCGAAACGAAGCCCTCACGGCACTTGCTATCCATGAACTGGAAACCAGGGCCGGCCTACTAAATAGCTGAAAGTCAACGCCCTTAGGAGGGCGCAGGGAGTTTATGCAAAGATGATCTTTGGCACCACGCATAATCCTGTAGACTTTTCAAGCAAGGAGGAGGTGAGTACGACTACTTGGCACGCTGTGACGTAGAGTCAGACGATAGAACCGCTGGAAAAGGTGGATGAGTCGAGGACGTATATAAATGAAGCACAAAGAACACGTGATGAGATTCACGATACCAAACTCTTACCAATATCTAGACTTATCCAGGCGGGACTGTCTACCAGTACTCTACAAACCATGCTGCCAGAATCAGAGGTGACAGACATGGTAAGCTAAAGATTGTGAAGAACGCTATGGAACTGATAACAGTGCAGCTCCATAATGCATTCATTCGTATCGATCGCGAGGTTCAGCAGAGCTGGCTTCCGGTTCGTACAACTTTGCAACACTTTTACAGCCAGCTTCGCGATGCCACGGGTGAACTAGTTTCTCAAGTGGCGCAGCTTCAAGAGGCCAATGCTGCGCTGGCCAGGAACAATGAGAGTTTGCTTAGGGAGATAGAAACGCTCCATCTCACGATCGACCCGGACAATCTTGCACAGGCTTCCGAGATTCAATCGTCGCCTACATCAACTGCGGGGTTGCAGAGGGTGGGACCTACCCTGCGTCCTCGAAACGGACGAAACCGCCCCCGCCAAGTTTTACCAAAAATTCCGGAAGGCGGGCCGGGAGAGCCTGTAAAAGCTACCGAAAGCCTTGAGCAGAGTAATGTTAGTCTTAGAAGACCATGAAGCATGGGACTTGACGAGCTAGAAACACATGGGATAGGTAGGGCCAGGACGACAGGGACGCAGCGTCATCTATTTAGCTTGCCGTCGTGAGAAATACTACTAAGAGACGCTTTTCTCGTCAAACTTAACACCTATACAAATAGCTGCTCGATGGAGAAAGGGATTCTACTGTACGAACCGGTTCCAAAGGCGTTGTGAATTGTACATCAGAAAGTACCTGGACTCTTTTGTAAAAAAGACTATTGGGCGAAGAATATACCAGCTTAGACTAGAGGAGGCACAGCCTGTAGAGTAAAAAATAACTCTACCTAGTATGCTCGCAACCCGCGGCCAATTTTAACAGCTGGTTTCAATGCTCCTGACGGGTGGTCACCTCGTCGACTGAGCGATTGTATGATCCGACAACTGCTTGAGAGACTACTTCGCGAGGACTGGTTATAACTTGATGAGATGGCTAGATGGGTATACGAAGAGTTCAACCTCACTGTATCCAAACAGTTTCTATCTAAAGAGTTTTCTGAGCGAGGCTGGGATCGTAAGCTATTGAAACGTATTAGTAGTGCGCGCTCAGAGACAGCACCCCTCCATACCTTGAGGGCATAGCGGAGACTCTTACGTGTTCTTGGATGATGGATGGTGGCGTCGAGCCAGAGCACCGAAAGGACAGACTCCGACTAAGCTTGGTACTCTTGATCGAGAGTTCTATACCTGGGTAGAGGTATACCTACTGCCTCCCTTGAGGTGAAATACCCCGGGCGTGCGATGACAATCTCGCGCTTCATACGGACCAACAGATTGGACCACTCATCTCGAACTTTTGAGGACTTGGGTATTACATTTATGAGACGCTCCGGCAGAGGGTACTTTATCACGCTTTACTCTACCGAAGTTCCCACATTGAGAGGGCGCAGGCTCCACGTGCCTAACGCTGCGTGGCATTTCGCTGATAAACTGCATTATACCTTGCAGTGATGAGGGCGCGCAGGAAGCTCTTCAGATATGGGTCTGCGAGCCGCTGCGTGAACCGTTGAGCAAGGATAGTCTGCGCGTTGTGCGTAAGGTCCTTGCAATTCCATGGCTCAGTATCCATGGCCTACCAGTTTAGCCGATACCAGGCGGCGACTTAGTGGATTTCGCGGGACACTTGGGTGCCTGGCCCTGGATTGGCCCAGCTCTATACGACGACGTGTGACCAAGTCAAAGCTCACAGTTGTATCACACAGTGCTCATTGCACATGACCACAGGAACACGAGTAGTGTTACTAGAACATCTATAATAGGACATCAACTAGTAGCTTCCGGCTCCTGGATTCAAGAACACTAACTAACAACCCAGTCAAGATGCTCTTTTATCTTAGCAACATTATTCTCAGAGAGTAGGGCAGTCCCGGTGACCTCAATCGTCACTATAGCTGGAGCAGCCGCATAACGTGTCGTGACGCCATCGTCTACCGGGCTGTACAGAGGCGATGTGCCCTGGTGCACCAAGCTGGCAAGTGGCGGAGAGGGAGAGGGAGATGAAGCAGAGAAATGCTGCGGCGTAGCGTTCGGTCCGTCATCCGGTGAAGGTGCTCGGTAGCCGGGGATGGCCGGATCACCGCCGTCGGATGTGGTGCCGGAGCACAAAACAAAATGGATGTCAGCATCGATCGATCCGGCTGCGCATTGGCGTACAGGCTGATACGGGTTCTCTGTGCCTTTGGCTGGCTCAGGTTCAAAGTATGCATCCCATGGACAGAACTTGC